AGTGTTTGCTATTATTATGATGGTACTAAACAGTTCTATATAGCTTCAGAAAGTGTTCTTCTATTGTGAAGTTGGTACTACACGGTTCTATATAGCACCAAAAAGCATTCTTCTATTGTTAAAATGGCTCTGTATGGTTCTATATGGTTCTATATAGCACCAAAAAGCATTCTTCTATTGTTATGATGATTCTATATGCTTCTATATAGGATCAAAAAGCGTTCTTCTATTGTTATGAAAGTTCTATATGGTTTGTTATAGCACCAAAAAGCGTTCTTCTATTGTTATGATAGTTCTGTATGGTTCTATTTAGCACCAAAAAGGGTTCTTCCATTGTTATGATGGTTCTGTATGGTTCTATGTTGCACCTATTATGCCTCAGAATGGAGAATCATTAGTGTGAGATTAAATTCTGAATTATTTTAACCAAATAATTATATTTTATTGGATAAAATGAATATCCTGATTGATCAATAAGTTTGTGAAATAACCTGCACTGAATAGGCTTTATTACACACACACATTATGTTACTAAGCCGCTTATTGTCCTGGGTCGCGGGGGGTGCTGTGAATAGATTTAAAAATAGTAATAATGCAGTACTGAATAGTACAGTACTGAATAATGCAGTACTGAATACTGAATATATTTTAAAAACAATAATAGTACAGTTCTTAATACAAACCTCTGTTGTTTCTAAAAGCACTACTGAGTTCTAGCACACACTAATACACACTAATACACGCTGAATACACACTGAAACACACTGAAGCAGTGCTGAGCTGCGCTGACGTGTTTAACGTGTGCATCACATCAACACAAAGTAAGCAAACCTTTAGTAACGGTGCTGATTTATTATATTAATGTGATGATAAGTGATAAATTTATTCCTGTAAATTCAGAGCACCACTGTTCCTCTGTTAGACTGTAACATAGAAAATAAAGCCCACCTGCTGTCGGGGTCCGGCTCGTCAGGCGAGAGAGTGAGCGAGCGAGAGAGAAAGAGTGAAAGAGCTGAAGACCAGTAGAGGATAATCACATACACAGAGGACAGCCCACTGACCTAACTCTCTCTCTTTCTCCCTGTACTCTCTCTCGCTCCTTCTCTCTCTCCCTCTCTTTCCCTGTATCCTTTCTTTCTCCCTGTACTCTCTCTCTCGTTCTCTCTCTCGCTCTCTCTCTCTCCCTCTTTCCCTGTACTTTCTCTTTCTCTCTCTCTCTCTCTCTCTCTCTCTCTCTCTCCCTCTCTTTCCCTGAGTCTGCACAAGTCTGCACATTTATGTTTTCCTATATATTAAACTCAGCAAATAAAATGAAAAACGCCATATTTAGAAGTTAGAAAATCAACAAAACATGCAGTTTGACCCGGAGAATTTTTGGTTGAAGGGGGGGAGGGGTCATGTATATTCATTCTGTAATATTTTGGTTCAGGTGTGTCAGCAGCATCACAGCCTCACCTTATTTACTACATTAACCTGCAGCACAGATGAAAATATCAATATAATAAACAGGAGGATTTCTGACTTCCCATTCCACCAAATTTTAGTGCAATTACTATTTATTTGCTGTGACATATTTTATATAAAATATGTTTAATTCAGTAATTTACACTTACAAATAAAATAATTGCACTTATAAAATCAACAAAAATATATGTAATGCAATTTGACTAGGGGCGCTCAAACTTTTGCATACGGCTATATATATATATTAACTACAAACACACACACACACACACACACACACAAATACAGATACAATGTAAATAGAAAGATGGGACACTTTATTATTTTAACATTTTATACTTTTCAATCAAGCTAATTTCAATACAGTAAAACAACAACAGCTCTGGCCACTAGAGGCCGCCATAAACAGCCCATCTGTGACTGTACAGGTCAGATTACAGGCCTAAACATTTAAAATCTCAAAGTACAGAGTTCACTGACAGACAGACAGACGAACAGACTGACAGGGTGCTGAAAGAGTCGAATAGCTGATGACTTTTTACAATCATTCAGAATTTATTGATTAAATGTGCAGTTTTCAGATCTATGAATCACAATCTCATAATAACAGCAATAAACCATATTCATAGCCAAAGCCTCTTCAAAGGTTCTTTAGTAAAGGGAATGTTCTGTTTAGGACCAAGAGTTCTGTATAGAACCATTCGCATGCTTAAATGGTTCTGTGCATGGTGGAAAGGCTCTTTAGATTGATGGAGAATGTGTTGTTTTATAGCACCAAAAAGGGTTCTGCTATTGTGACATTGTCACGCTTCTAACAATAGCAGAATGCTTTTCGGTGCTATACAGAACCATTTTCAAAAAGTTCCGCATACAACACATCATCCATGCAAAGAACGATTTATGCATGCAAATTGTTCTATAAATAGCCATTTGATGCTTGTTAAAGGTTCTATAAAGAACCAAATACATCATGTTCTCCATCAACATGAAGAACCATTTCACCATGCAAAGAACCACTTACACATATAAATGGTTTTATATAGAACTCATGGTTCTAAACAGAACTGTTGTCTTTACTAAAGAACCCTTGAAGCACCAGTGCAACCACTGTAACATTCATAAACCTGTAACATTGAAATACAAAAGCACAGAGACACAAACAGGCACAGAGTCAGTTATAACCACTTCACCGTTCAGCATGATCAATCAGTCTATTAGAATGATAACGAAGGCACGCGGCTGCTGCGGGACAGACAAAGCTTTTATGGAAGGTAGTGTTGATTCGTGATTCCAGTGTTGACATCATGGCAACTGGAAAACCAGAAACACTGCAGATGTGCTCCAGTGTGTCGCCTCAATGAGTCACTGTAGGTCAGAAACTCGACTGAAATCAGAGGAGATTAGAAAGTTCAGTCACAGATCAGCTCCAGTGTGGAAGTGGGTTCTCATCTGGAGATCTGGGTTCTCGGAAAAATAAACTTCTACAGCAGGAGAAGGAATTCACACGCAGAGCCCTGAAATTATGGAACAATTTACTAATTCATATTAAAGGGCCCATATCATTCATTTTTTTCTGTTTTTCTGCTTTTCCACACTTTTAAAAAAGTGTATATGGTTCTATACAGCACCAAAAAGGGTTCTGCTATTGTTACAAGCTTGACATTGTCACAACAGCAGAACCTTTTTTGGTGCTACGTAGAACCATATACAACACATTCTCCATCAATCTGAAGATTTCACTATGCAGAGAAACACTCAAACACGCAAATGGTTCTATATAGAACCATTCCTTTTACTAAAGATCCTTTGGTGGGGCTAAACTGCTGTTGGCTGAATGGGCGGGGCTTTCCTTGGTTTTCCATGATATGGGCCCTTTAAAATGCAGATACTACTTTAAATCCAGTGTAAAATATGTGTTTTAGTGCAACTTGTAATTAACATACAATCATGTTTTATCGTGTTTATGTAATTTTATTACATTTTTTAGTCTTAATTTTTATATTTCTTCCTTTTTGTTATTTATGGGTCACTCCACGCAATCTCACCCAGCGCCTGTGTGGTCACATCGTGGACTTGATGTAAAAATTCAAGCATATCTGTAACTTCTTTAGATTTTATATTTTCCTTATAGGCTTAAAGGAATCATTGATGAAATTATGGTCAAAAAGGGCTGTAAGACATGTTTTTGAGCTCATTCTGTAGCTTTAAATACTCCATTAAATCAGAATAATAATTCTTGAGATATGACAGAAATGTAGAAAGTTAACACAAAACCTAAATTTTATAAAATAATTTTGAAAACTCATTTACATTTTGAAAATGAGAGATTTCACATTCTGTCATAAGAAACACAACCTTTAATGCATGAATGTGTTGTGTGAATGTGAAATACGTAAATATATGTGAATATTAGTGTGTTGTTGCATTTATACTTTCAGTTCAGATCATTTTTGCATATTTCAAGAATTAATATTTAAAATAAGTAAAATTAACCAGATAAAATTAATTAAAACTAGTACAAAATGTATAGAAACAGGTTAAACAGTCTGGCAACAATCACATAATGAGAAATATTAAATGTACTGACTAGATTTAAGATGTTTTTACTTGCTTATATATCATTTATTTTGCAATGTAGAATTATGAATTAAAGAAATAATAACTGAAATACTAAATGAAGCACAGATTTGAAATGCATTTGTGTGAGTTAAATTAAATGAAGATTCAATTAAATAAACAAGTTTCTTTACTTTTTTTCTTGGCGAGACCAGACAGGCCCTAAGAAAGTTGATATGGAAAAGCCCAAAAATAACCCAAATATATTTTCATTGTACACATATTAATCTGTTGAAATTAGATTTTTGATTATTGTGTAATAATATGATACTTTTTAAGCACAAAAAGCCTCAACGTAAACAGAGTGTACAGTAACGCGGTGATCATCTCAGTGAGTTACACATTCTGCCTCATCTGTCACTGTCTTTGTTTACGTTTCCTCATTAGAATTGACACCGTATATACGATAATCATTCTAAAGTGGGCTAAAGGGGAAATCCACAGATTTTCCAAAAAATCCTGCATAATTAAGTGGTTAAGATGTAAACAGAGTCATTCAGAGTGGTTTGGTGTGAAACGCTCTGTTCTAGAGAAACTTACTGAGTCAGAATTGTTCACGGTGGTGGTGATAGGAACCAGAAGTCCACCTATAAAAGGTCCTTCACAGAAGGATATTACATGAAATGGCTATAAATACACTACCTGATGTCTGAGACATTGTTTATGATAGTTTTGAGAAGACTTTGGTCTTAAACTCCATTCATGGTGGAGGGATACATAATATGCAGGGCGCTATGAGACAAAATAATCCCCAAAGAAAACTTATTATTTCAGATTTTTTCGCTATTTTCCCATCATCAACATTCCATATAAACTCAGAAGACACGTGTAGGTTCACTGGTGGTTTTGGATAGTAAATAAAATGTCTATATTTGTGTTGTAGTCATGGCAACCCCTGGTTCCTATCAGCACCACTGTAAAGAAATTTGAACCATTTCACATCAAACTACTCTGAATCACTCTGTTTACATCTCAGAAATTTTAAAAAACATCAGTGGAGTTCCCCAACTAGAACTCAGTAGATCAGAACTAGAACTCAGTAGATCAGCAGTAGGGGGGTCAGAAGAAGATGAGACAGTGACTCAGGAGGCAAAAATCACATGACTGACATCACATGAGTGAGCAGCACTGGCAGGTTTTCCTCTTCGGGGCGACAGCGTCCTCGGCCCGGTTTGGACTGGCCGCGTCAGTCAGCGGTGAGGCTTTAGAGGCCAGCAGCGGCTGCTCCTCCACCAGCTGACCGTCGGCCAGCTGCTTCCGGCTGGACTCCTCTGCTGCTCCATCCAGGGGAACGTCCTGGAACTGACCCGGTGAGGACGGAGCGGGGGTTTCGGAGTTTGAGAAGGACACTGCTGGGTTTAGCACCTCCTGCTGGATGGTTTCAGTGTTTGGAGCTGCGCTGGACTGTGCTGGAGCCTCTACAGTGCCCTCTACTGTTTCTCTGTGGAGCTGTGGCTCAGAGGACGTCGGCTCCTCCAGAACTTCCTGCTCTACGACTCCTTCTGCTGCACTTTCCTCCACTAGAGGGGTTGTGATCTCAGCACTGGTATCTGCACAGGAATCTGTCAGAGGTAGAAATAAAGGAATTATAACTAATCTCATTACAGTTAATGGTACTTTTATTGAACATAATTAAAGACTAATTCTATTCATTTCTAATAACTGTATTCAACTTAGCTTTTTGAATTTTAGAACTTAGTCAGCAGCTAGCTGGCTAGCTAATCTTAGCTAAATACCTATGATATTATTTCACTATTTCCTTTTTATCTTATTTTGTAATAACAAGCAGAGCAGCTCTTTATTAAACTTCAACCTGTCTAGACAATTTAGTTAGTGAATAAACAGCTAAAATTCAAGGCGTAGGCTTTGTTAGTGTAGATAGCTAACAAAGTGAAAACTTTCTGTGAGGAAATCAACTCAAAGTTAATTACTTCAGTAGTTTTTAGATATATTGTCACATTTTCCCGGCTTGGGACTTTTTCCCACAAGAGCCTACATTTTTAATATATTTTATTTTCTCTCTGAGGTTCACTTGAGCTGTTTGCAAGGTTTTATTAAAACAAAAAATGTCATAATTCATTTCTACATGATCATTTTCCAACCTCTCGCCATCCCTCACAAACAGGCATTTTTTGTTACTGTGCCTTTAAGACTGATATATGTAAATGAGCTCTTGGTGGAGCTAAACTGCTGTAGTCTGAATGGGTGGGTATAAACCGCTATAAGCTGAATGGGTGGGGCTTAACTGCTGTAAGCAGAATGGGTGGGGCTTAACTGCTGTATGTAGTATGGGAAAAGCTAAACTGCTGTAGGCTGAATGGCCAGACAATTTACAATTACTGTTATTCCCACTGAGGAATATTTGGTTTTCCATCATATGGGCCCTTTAATGTTTTTAGTTGTACTGAAGTGAATGATCACTACAGTAGCAGTGCTCTTACCTAAGTGGGGGTTTTCAGTGCTCTTTTCACTTGTGGTATCTGCACTGGTATCTCCATTGATATCTGTGTTGCTCACTGCAATAGCTTCTTCGCTGCTATCAGCGTTAGCATCTGCCTTGATATCCCCATAAGCATCTGTACTGGTATCCCCATTAGCATTTGCGCTGGTATCCCTGTTAGCATCTGCCCTGGTATCCCCATTAGCATCTGCACTGGTATCCCCATTAGCGTTTGCGCTGGTATCCCCATTAGCATCTGCACTGGTATCCCCCTTAGCGTCTGCACTGGTATCCCCATTAGCATCTGAGGTGGTTTCTTCGTTAGCGTCTGTGTTGTTTTCTGTTGTTTTTTCTTCTCCCTCTGTAACAGCAGCGTGTGCAGTGTGATCATCGTCTTCAGCAGAACCTTCTAGATGATTCTCAACTCCTTGTGTTTCTGCCTCCTCCTCTGCCGGTTCTACGTTCTCTCCTGGTTCCTTGGCTGGTGTCTCCTCCTCCGTGGAAGCTTCCGGAATCACCTCTCCCTCATCGGTGATGATCACTCTCTCCGCTCGGATGATTGTGCTGTCGTCGTCACTCACGCCCTGTCCAGGCTCCGCCTCTGAGAAACCCAGGAAGGTCAGAGTGACTGGGCCCTCGGTTAGCCCGTTAGCGTGCACTAAGCCATCCTGCACAGGGGCACTGTGGGGCTTCTCCTCCTCCATGGTGCCGTTGGTGAGAGATGGAGCGTTTGGAGTGACTGCAGTTTCCTCTGGAATGTCGTTGACCACCGAGTGACCTACAGACAAATTATACACAGATCAGGAGTCACATGATTCTTTAGTGTTCGATAAAATTCACTACAATTTTTAAAGCAGTAGTTTGGCCACAAGTTTCCCCATCTTACTCCAAATATAGTCAGTCAGCCAAGACATGTTTGGTGTCTGAAGTTTGCTTTTTTAGTTTTACCACTGGAGCTACGAGGCTAATGTAGCTAAAATGAAATGGAGGTTTATGTATTAGCATAATCAGCATGGTGCTAGCTGCATGCCTATTAATCATCTTAAACTCTGTCGAGTTGTTAAATCTATAATAGACAAAAACTATTTCCTTTTACTTTTTAATTTTATATAGTCATTTTTAGAATAATAAACACTGCAGCTATTTATTAAACGAATCCGGTGGTTAACAAATTTAGCTATTATAAGTCCAAGCTAATGGGTTCCTGGAGAAAGTTCTATATACATACAATGGTATTTATTTGTTTGTTTGTTTTTAAATCAGACACTGCAAGAAATGGTGTCTTGGCAATTTAAATGATCTGAAAACCAGTCTATTCATCTAATACTTCTCATTTTGAGATTGTTGTAAGCTTATCATAAGATTATTTAACTTATTTCTAGACATTTTAACTTGCTTTTAGTGATTCTAGTGAGTCAGATTATCTCACTATGCTGCCAGATCACTTAAGGCAAATAAGTTAAATAATCTTATAATAAGCTTACAACAATCTCAAAATGAGAAATATTAGATGTATAGACTAGATCAAAGACCATTTCACTTGCTAAGAGACTATATTTTGCAGTGCAGCTGGTGTTTGTGTGTTTTAGCTGACGAGGTGGTGAGTGAACTCTTACCGAATGAAGGAGTGATAAAGAAGGAGCTGCAGGAGAAACACAGGCAGCAGAAAAGACAGAGGAGAGAACATGAGAGAACATGAGTAAAGGAGAAGGAAGATAAGAGGAGAGCGGTAGATGGAAATAACACAACAATCTCAGTGAAAATCTCCCTAGTTTTTACTGAAGCACCTCTTAGACCTGGCTTGTAACTCACTCACTCATATTTAAAACATTCTCCAGCAGGGGGCACTATTTGCACTCTAGTACCTTTTGATACTTCATTAGTGCTTTGCATCCATGACAGTGCATGGACTTGTTTTAAAGGGGCCATATTTCACATTTTTCTTGTATTTTATCTTTTTTTTTACAGACACAGGGACCCTAAATCTGCTCTTTTCTCTAATAAGGTTAATCTTGTTCTTGCAGGTAAACATGTACTAAGTTCACCCTTTAAGTAATGTTCCAGTGACCAATAAATGACCGATATATTTCACCATATTTTTCTCTGGGCGGAGAAGCTTAGTGAGCTAAAGCTAACTGAGCACAACCAAAGCTAGGGAGCTAGCCCACCTGTCTGTAGGTACCTGTCGCCCGTTCACTCGATTATCCAACACTTATCCAACATTATCCAACAATTGTTCACTGATCTGTTCCTTCATTCGTTGCTTCGTCTGTCCATCCAGTTAGCATCACATAAAAGCTGGATAATGAAGTTAGTTCTGTATGGGGGTGAAGCAGGCTAGGAGTGTTGGACAGACATCTGTTAATCAAACTGCTCATTAGCCACAGTTCTCAGATAGAGCTGATGAGCGATTTTTTATGTTCTATCATATGTACCATACTTATATATAATATTTTTCATTCAAGCTTTCACTCTGTTCACTTTTCTTCATCTCTCATAAATAAACAGGCAGTTTTCCATGATTTTAAACCAGTATATATCTGCAGTGTCTATAGTAATGTCACTGTAATGTAATAGCAAAACCAGGGAATAGAAAACACCTCCATTTATTTTATATATACTTACATATATATACAATAATTGTCTGATTGTGCACTTTCATTTGAAACTGCCAATGATATTCACCCCTGATGTCACCCCTCACTAAAATGTGATGTAGAGTCTCCTCCCTCCGGTGTTACCTTTTTTGTTTTGTTTTGTTTTTTGGCCACACAACATGTTGTTATTATTATTTGGAAGTGTGGTAACTGTCCAGGCCCGGATCATCAAGTTATGGGCCCCTGGGCACAAATGTTTGGTGGGCCCTGATCTGGCTACCTTTTTTGGGTGATAGCTGCTTTATACAGAGCTGCCCAGCTGTGGTTTGGGGTATGTATTTAACCCTCTCTCGATTTGTTAAAATCTTCTTAAACTCCCCTTTCAAGGCTCTTCATATAAGTTGATACTCACATGTTTCATATCAAAATGCTCCGTTATCTTCATCACTACTTTCCAAAACCGCTGCAGCAACTTCAGCAGCTGTAAACTCTCTGCACCATTTCTCATGTGTCTCTGATGTGAACTGAATGAATTATGTGGGGTTTCCAGTTTAATGGGTCAGTCCTTAGTGATTTCCTGATTGTCCATTGGTCAGTTTCACACAGAATGTAGACGGACACACAAATCCACCAGTTCTACATGGTGAGAGGCAGATGATGTGTATCTCAGCCCCTCTTCATAGCATCATAACTCCAGATGTGAGTCACATACGATTTTGTGATAAGATGGAATGTAAAGGGCGACTACAGATTCAGGAAATGTTTGAACTGTATTTCTGTGCTGGATTATCACAAAGATACAGAAACATTGAATCTGGCGCACGGGCGAGTTCATGGACTCCAGAGGGTTAATAAAGTTTGTAACGGGTTACATTTCATCCCCACATTTAACATCAGTAGTCTTAATAACATCCCTTTCTTCTCCACTTCATAGAAGACTTTCTTTTCATCCCATCCCAAGTGGAATTGCAGAGCGATGCAACACATCAAAAACAGAAACAGGGCGTCTGTCAAAACCGGCACGGCGCATTACACTCTGTTGCTCACAGCTATTATGACTATATAGACATGCACTCAATAATCCGATCATAAGTTATCTGATTATCCTGATGGTCATGTATACAGCACACTCTGATTTCTTAGATCGGAGTAAGGTCTAGAAATCTGATTAAGAAATCCAATAAAGAGAGCTGGATTTTAGCTCAGTAATCAGATTTCTTAGTGCATTTAAACTCTTATTCTGATTTCTTTGAATTTCTCAGTCTTCACATGTGTGAGAACAGAGGGTGGCACCAGAAATAAGCAAGCAGCGAAACACTTTTTGAGCGATGCTGAAACCGACTACATGCTTCACAAAATGAAGGATTTAAATATTATTCATCTTCTAGATGATGTATGTTCATATTTTCAGGTTAAGTGGCGCAATGTTTAAAAAATAAAGCCACATCCTGAGTTTCATGTTACGAATTTCATGTTATGTCTGACTCATGTAGACCCGTAGTTTCTTCATTATTTGATTACCCAAGAGCATGTAAACATGTTGATCAGATTACTGACAAAGTCTGATTTTCTGCAATTATTGGATTATTAAGTGTATGTTAACGCACTCAGTGATTATAATGGAAGTGTTTTGGTTTTGTTGTTTGCATTGCTTGCTGTTAGGACATGATGTCCATTCATTTTTACCGCTTTGCTTTTTTCACTTGTAAAGTTACCACCACAGATGAAGAACGAGAGCAGACGGCAGGTGAGACAGAGGGCAGGTGAGTGAACAGGTGTGCCACACTTACCTGCTGTCGCTGCAGTGTCTCCCTGTGGGACAGAGAGAGAGAGAGAGAGAGACGGTCAGCAGGTGGTCACAAACAGGGACGTTCTCCCTCTTTGATTAGCTGATTAAAACCAACTATACTAGAGTTCACTGCAGGAGTACACACTTAAAGAAGCCAATCAGATTTTGGAATTTTAATGGTTTATTGATTAATTTTTTTATTTTTAAATTTACTATGATTCTTATTACTTTTTAGCATTTGTTATGTTTTTAATATTTAACCTCTCAATCCCTGATCTCTGTATTGGCTCGGCTACATTGTAAACGAGGGTCTACCTCAGTGTACAGTGTACAGTGTACAGTGAGTTTAAATCAAGGTTGATTGACTTATCAAACTGGAATTCCAATTTTATAACAGAAGATTAAGTAAATACTAGTTAGTAGGTTAGTTGATTATAGAAATAGCTGCAGCTCTGACAGATGTAGCATGAATAGCCTACAATAGTGTAGACGTGTTCTAATAGTTCACACCCATTCACAGTTTCCTCAGTCTCGCGCACACACACACATTGTAACAGCCTTTCACTACCGTTCTGCTCTCTTATCACACTTGTTTTGTTAGTGATAAGATCAGTAACAGTCTTTCTCTAACATTTCCTCAGAGCTCCAGCCGGTTCTCTGAGTTAAGTTCAGAAAAACACTCACTGATCTCCCATTGATCAAAGATACAGACTGGTAATCAATCCCAAGTCCTTGTTGAGACAGTGTTTAAAGTGGTGATAATCCACCTGGGGGAGCCAGGGAGTCAGCACTGACATTTCACTGTGAGACATACAGTTAAACATTTAGACTGTCTGCAGACTGAGAGATTTACGACATACAGTAGATACAGCAGTTTGTTTCTTTATACTGCCACATGACTGGCACTCTGTCCCTAATGCCCGTATAAGTGTCACTGTGGGTCTGATGCCCGTATAGGTGGCATTTTTGGGCCTGATGCCCATATGAGTTGCACTCTGTCCCTGGTGCCCATATAAGTGGCAATCTGTCCCTGGAGCCCATATAAGTGGCATTGTGGGCCTGATGCCCATTTGAGTTGCACTCTGTCCCTGGTGCCCATATAAGTGGTGTTGTGGGCCTGATGCCCATTTGAGTTGCACTCTGTCCCTGGTGCCCATATAAGTAGCATTGTGCGCCTGATACCCATATAAGTGGGATTGTGGGCATGATGACCATATGAGTGAGTGGCACTATGGGTCTGATGCCCACACAAGTGGCATTGTGTCGGTGATGCCTATATGACTGGCACAGTGTACCTGATGCCCACAGAAGTGGTACTGTGAGCCTGAAACATGTATGAGCGGCATCATATGAATATCAAGTCAAGTCAAGTCAAGTCAAGTCAGCTTTACTGTCAATACTACAATATGTACAGGACATACAAAGTAGGGAGAGAGTTCAGCATCCTGATAGCCTGGTGGATGAAGCTGTCCCCCAGTCTGCTGGTCCTGGCCCGGAGACTCCGCAGTCTCCTCCCTGATGGCAGCAGGCTGAAGAAGCTGTGTAGTGGGTGAGTGGGATCACCTGCCATGCAGAGGGCTTTTTGGGTGAGACGGGAGCTGTGTATCTCTTGGAGGGAGGGGAGGGACCAACGATCTTCTCAGCTGCTCTCACGATGTGCTGGAGTGTCTTGCGGCAGGACACGGTGCAGGCACCATACCACACGGTGATGCAGCTGGTCAGGATGCTCTCGATGGTACCTCTGTAGAAGGTGCACATGATGGGGGCTGGGGCTCTGGCTCTTCTCAGTTTGCGGAGAAAGTAGAGTCACCGTGTGCCCGATGCCCATATGAGTGGCACTATGTAAATGATGCCCATATAAATAGCAGTATGATTCTAACATTCATATGAGCTGTACCTGATGCCCATGTAAGTGGCACTGAGGCTGATGCCCATATGACTGGCACAGTGTACTCGATGCCCATACAAGTGGCGCTGTATAAATGCTACTGTATGCCTGATGCTCATATGAGTGGACTGAGAGTCAGATGCCCAAATAGGTGGCACTGTGTAGGTGATGCCCTTTCAAGTGGCACTGTGTACCTGATTCCCATGCAGTTGACACTATGAGTGTGATGTCCATGAGTGGCACTGTGTATGCTGCCCATATGATTGGTATTGTGTGCCTTATGCCCAAGTGACACTAGATGAATGATGCCATGTACCTGATGCCTATTTTAATGCCACTATGTGCTTGATGCCCATATGAGGGGCACAGTGTGCCTGATGCTCACAGCAAGTCTGATGCCCACATGAGTGGCACAATAAGACTGCCATGGTGTGTCTGACACTCATATGAATTCCACCACAAACTTGATGCCCGTATGATTGGCACTGAGTACCTAGTGTGTCTAACGTCTTTGAGACCGGAGTAACAGAGCCTGAGTAAACAGCATCTCCTAAACCTGTTTGTGCTGAATTGTCAGCGCAGAATAAATGTTTATCTATGATTTGCATTCTGAGCTACTGCTTCCTGTGGCTGACTGTCAGCAGAGAGAGTCTTTAAGTGCGTGTATGATTGAGGCGGCCTTGGCTGCGGGCGCTGTACAGGGTTACTGTGAACAGATAAGTCGCCTCCGCAACATTCCCTCTCCTTCCCAGAGCTCGCAGCGCAGCGCCAGTGAACCCACAGGGGGATTAGAGGACAGAGCGAGGAGGGGAAGCAGGGAATTTAACATGAAAAACAGAAAGCAAAACAAGAGTAGCCTGTTTTATTTACCATAAACATTTCTACTCATCATCATACCCAATAGGCACATAATATCATCTGTATCGTTATCATGATATTGCCCTATACTAAAGGTTGGCAACCCAAATGTTAAGAAGAGCCATTTTGTCCTTTCATTTTATTAAAGTAACGTTTTACCATCTTGGCTGTAAATATGTCTCAGTATGTGCTAATGTCCTAGTATAGACTAAAAAATATAATATAAATGAAAACACAGACTCATTCACCAGCTTCTTATACATATTTTCCCGTTCCACCTTAAATGGTGCCTGAGGTGCCAGAATGTAACTGCTGCACCATTTAAGGCGGAACGGAACAATTCAAACGAGAAGCTGGCAAATGAGACTTGTTAGTGTTTGACAGTTTCTCATCGCAGATTAAACGTATCAGGGAACCAGCTGGAGTGATTATAAACACAAATAAATCTATTCACCTCCAAATTATTGATGTTCATCTTAAATCTTTCTCTTTGCCTTTTTGTTAGCTACTATCTACATATGACTGTTGTCTGTGTTGCTATGGTCCAGCAGTTTGCGCTGATCTTCAGAGTTAAAGGGTGAATTAGCAGTTATACATTAACTCCAGTGTTTAAGACCATTTATTGTTAAAACTGTGTTAGAATGATCAGCAGAGCTTTATTTTACAGCAAAGGATGATTATTTATTATTGCCTAAAGATCTAATTCTGGTATGTTCATCTTTAAGTACACTGTGCAGAGTGTCACCATCACAGTGTAGCAATCAATTCCGTCTGTATTGTGCAGCCCTAAAACTCAGTATTTTAGTTGTGTTGTTATAGGTACAGATGACTGCACTCATGCATATGCAAATGAATACTTCAGAAAAATTCTGCTTGTACATATTTGCATATGCAAAGGGAATAACTGATTTATTTTGTTTGTGTGTTTAATTAAAAACACTTACTCTGTGATATGAGTGCATATTTTAACAGTGCGTGTCTCACCTCTGTGTTGCTGTGGTGACCGGCATGAGACTGTGTTGAATCTGAACTGTTCTCAATCTGGTCCTGTAGCCTCTCCACCGCCTCGCCCAGCCGCTCCGTCTCACTCTGCAACCTGAACACATCGGACATCAGGAGTGAACAGGTCTTAATGCGATAAATCAATTTTGTGCAACTCCTTTAGCACTCAGAGCCCAGCTGGGTAACAGAGAATTATGGGTAGTGGGTAGTGAGCCCGTAGAGACACACTCCAACAGAGGTAATTAAAAACACCCTAGCATCCATCTGGGACACCCTAGCAGCCACTTTGGATGCCATAGCAACTGCCTAGCAATCACTTGGCATAACATAGCAACCACCTATTAACATCTGTGAGAAAATGGATGTGTGGGATGTTAAACAGTGAATCAAACTTATTTTAAAGTGATATTTAAGTTTTATTTATTACTCTCAGTACACAACAGTTCAGCCGGTGCTATCACGAGAAATATCAGTTTTTATCCTTTTATTTGGGTGATGATGGTGGGGAAATTGTGTAAATGTAATGAACTATTCCTTTAAGATGGAATATCTGCATTTTGATTATTTATTTCTTCTGTTCTGGACACTGATGGGGTCAGTTCTTTGGCGGTGTTAAAATCTCTGTTGGAAAAATTTACATCAAACACGTTTTTCTGTGGAATGTGTGACCGCTGCCAGGAAGACCGGAGTTTTCCTTTAAAGCCGTGTGTCTGTGCCCTCTGAAGCTTATTAACTCAGCATCGCTATCAGCCCCTAATTACAGCTTCAAACAGCATATTAGAGTACCAGCACCACTGCCAACTGTTCACAGTAATGACATTGTACTTGAGTCAGGCAGAGAGCCACACACTCTCTGAGTTCACTGAGTTTAGGGTCTGAGTTTAGGCTAGGTGTAGGGTGTAGGGCTTAGGGAGTAGGAAGTAGGAATTGAGTTTAGAGTCATTGTGTAGGGTTTAGGGGTCAGGGCCTAGGGATAGTGTGTAGGGTTAAAGATCAGGGTACAGAGTGCAGGAATTGGGTTTAGGGTTTAGAATTAGTGGGTAGGGTTTAAGGAACAGTGTGTACAATGCAAGATTTAGTGTGGTGGGTTTAAGAATTAGGCTTTAGAGATTTACAGAGAGTGTAAAGGGTATAACACTACTGTGTAGGGCTTAGATATAGTATGTAGGATGCAGGGTTTAGTGTGTAGGGTTTAGAGATTATGTGTAGGATGCAGGGTTTAGTGTGTAAGGTTTAGAGATTATGTGTAGGATGTAGGGTTTAGGGATAGTATACAGTATGTGTGGTTTAGTGTGTAAGATGTATGGTTTATTATGTAAGGCTTAGGGTTAGTGTGTAGGATGTAGGGTTCAGTGTGTAGGGTTTAGGTTTAAGTGTGTAGGATGTATGGTTTAGTGTATGTTTTAGGGTTCGTGTGTAGGATGTATGGTTTAGTGTGTATGGTTTAGCATTAGTGTGTAGGATGCATAGTTTAGTGTATAAGGTTTAGGGTTAATGTGTAGGACGTATAGTTTAGTGTGTAGGTTTTAGGGTTAGTGTGTAGGATGTAGGGTTTAATGTGTAAGGTTTAGGGCTAGTGTGCAGAATGTAGGGTTTAGTGTGTAGGTTTTAGAGTTAGTGTGCAGGATGTATGGTGTAGGGTCTAGGGTTAGTGTGTAGGATGTATGGTTTCGTGTGTATGTTTTAGGGTTAGTGTGTAGGATGTATAGTTTAGGGTGTAGGTTTTAGGATTAATGTGTAGGATTTAGGGTTAGTGTGTAGGATGTATAGTTTAGGGTGTAACGTTTAGGGTTAGTGTGTAGGATGTAGGGTTTAGTGTGTAGGATTTAGGGTTTGGAGTTAGTGTGTAATATTTAAGTTGTAGGGTTTTGAGAGTCAGGTTTAGGATCTAGAGTTTAAAGAGAGAGGGAGAGAGAGAGAGAGAGAGAGAGAGAGAGAGTGAGAGGTAAAGACTTACTTCTCTATGTGTGCTTCTATCTGCTGGGCCTTTGACCCCCAGAGAGGTGATCGGGGTCCTGCGGAGTCTGGAGAGGTGGGGGGACCTTCCATCAGCCACTGATCCCTTAGGGACTTTCTCTGAGAGAGAAAGAGAGAGAGAGAGTGAGAGAGTAATAAGTGTCATGAGTCATTTTTAGATGTGAAGCACTAGACTTAATCAACTCAGGCTCCAAGACTGTCCACAAGGGGGAGCTGTGTCCAGTATTTTTAGTGTGTTAGTGTTTAATCATAGAAAGGAAGGAAACCCACAACAGCAGGGGCTCGGTAATGCATATATGTTTTCCCTCATAAATGATGTATAAAGTAAAACATTTTGTGTAAGACTGTTTTTGCTAATGTGTTTAATGTCTCCGGACTTTTATCACCGCAATCTTATGCATATTTAGAGCTGCCATGTCTTTGGCCCTGCACAGTGTGAAGATCCACTGCAGCTGCTAATCTGCTAATCAGAGTAAAACGACCATGAATTGGAAAGTTTACAATGAAAACAAGCTCTCCCAGTACTGCAGAAAGTGAAAAGTCAACAAAGTTTCACCGCAGATGAGAACGTTTAATACAAACAGCTCCTTTTCCTGCAGATATGAACAAAAACAAACAGATAACTCCCCGAGACCGACTGACTATGACCCCTTCAAGGCAAAAAATTAAATTCTTCCAGGTTTATACTTACCTTAAATGTGCATGTTTGGTGTCTGAAGTTTGTTTCTTTAGTTTTAGCACTGGAGCTACAAGGCTAATGCAGCTAACATAGTAATAGAATTGTATGCCCCACCAATTAGGGTATAGTGTGTATGGTTTAGGGTTAGTGTGTATGATGCATAATTTAATGTGCATGTGTATAGTGGATTAGGGATTGGTTTAGAGATTGTGTGTAGGATGTATGATTTAGTGTGTATGGTTTAGGGTTAGTGTGTAGGATGTATGGTTTAGTGTGCAGGGTTTAGAGATTGTGAGTAGGATGTAGGGTTTAGTGTGCAGTTTAGCCAGCTTGTTATCAGTGCACAGTTCAAAAGCCAGTATTCATGATGGTATAGGGGGGCATTAGTGCACATGGCATGGATGACGTGCACATCTATGAAGGCACCATTAATGCTGAACGATATATACATGTTTTGGCAACATATGCTGCCATCCAGACAATGTCTTTTTCAGGGAAGGCCTTGCTTATTTCAGCAAGACAATGTAAAACCGCATTCTGTATGTATTACAACAGCATGGCTCCATATTAAAAGAGTCCAGGTGATAAAGTGGCCTGCCTGCAATGCAGACCTGGCACATTATGAAATGAAAAATATGCCAGAAGAGACCCCGAACTGTTGAGCAGCTAAAATCCTGTATTAAATAAGAATGAGAAAACATTTGACTTTCAAAACTACAGCAATTGGTCTCCTCAGTTCCCAAACACTTACAGAGTGCTGTTTGAAGAAGAGGTTTGGAATATGTTTTTGGCATTAAGTACAAAATTTTCATATGTATTTCAAAAAACAATAATATTGCTGAGCTTCAACATTTGATATGTTGCCTTTATAGTATTTTCCTTTAAAAATATTGTTTACATTATTTGGATATCATTGCATCCTATTTTTATTTACATTCTGCACAGCATCCCAAATTTTTGGAAATGGGATTGTATAAAATATATAATGAAAGTTGTTGTCCCCAGGAGTCGTGTCACTGGTGTTACTGCGTAACAAAAAAACTCTTATTTTGAAATAATAATCACACTGATGACATCACTTGACTTCCTTTTACCTATTTTCTGAAGATATATGAAGAAAAGCACATGGTAAGTCCACTGTGTCTTTTCGGTTATCAGAATCTTCTCATTTAGCTCATGATTTCCTTATTCTTAGGTAATTGTGAAAAAATAGAATACAAATGTATTAAATTACGTTTTAGTGGATATTCCATGATTGACAACATGTGGTTTGATGCTCTGTAGCAGCCATTCTGTACAATGCATTTTTCATGAAAAATGTCATTGGTGTTACTGTCTCTGTTATATGTAACACCAGTGACGATCAGTAACACCAGTACTGAAGTGTACGGAATACTGAAGTGTACAGAATACTGTGCTCTTACATTGAACATGTACTTGTACAGGAGTGCAGTAGCACTAGCGTAGAGGGGGTTTCTTGTGTTTTGATATTTATGTCCTAAACTGAAGGCCAAGCTCTGATAGTCAGAGTTCAGCACCAAAACACACACCCACAGAACAGTTTGTAGCCGCAGGAACCATCAGGAAGTGAAATAAAGGAACGGCAGTGTGGAGGAGAAACAATGGAGAGAGAGAGAGAGAGAGAGAGAGAGAGAGAGAGAGAGAGAGAGAGAGAGAGAGAGAGAGAGTCATTGTTTGAGGAGAGAAACTGATCCTGAACATCAGCTCCACAGCCTCAGGAAGGGTGTGTGTGTGTGGTGTTAAATCTCAGGAATGCAACAGTAAAACTGAAAGTAACTCTGACTCAGTGGAGAAAAATACAAAATTATTTTACTGTATTGTTTTTCTAAGCATTTTATCATCATCGCCAGCACTTAATAAAATTCATAGCAGCTATCAAAGGCAATTTCCATCTGTTTGGGGGTTGAATTCAGCATTTGTCAGACATGAAAACTCATAAACAGTGACAAGTTCAGAAACTGATCCCCTGTAGTGGCAGAAAAAAGAACATTGGAACCTAAAAAAAGAATGTTAAAACCTGATTACTTAGCTTTCTAATTGGAATTAGCTTAATTGTTAACATTAGAGAGCACTAGTTTCCTATACACTCTTACAAAAGACAGTTCTTTGAGGGTTCTTTAGTAAAGACAGTGGTTCTATATAGAACCATGAACACTCCTTGCGTGCTTAAATTGTTCACTGCATAGTAAAATGGTTCTTCAGATTGATGGAGAATGTGTTGGTTCTATCTAGCACCAAAAAGGGTTCTGCTATTGTGACGATGTTAAGCTTGTAACGATGTTGGAGCTGATAAAGTGGACGGTGAGTGTAAAGTGCTCAGTTTGTGTGTTTCTGAGTGTGGTGTGGTGTTTTTGTGATATGAATGTGTATGTTACCTTTTGCTGCTGTAGTCGTATTTTTTCGTCCTCCAGCGCTCGTTTGGCTCGGTCCTGCTCCTCCTGCAGCCGCCGCTTCTCCTGCACATACACACTATCAGCACTGCTGTATTCATCCGTACGTAGCAGCCAGTGTTGCAATAGTTATCCAAAATTGTACACGACTAATTATGGCTCACAAAGAGCTGTAATTAGTCGTGGCTCTATAAAATTTACTGCTGTAAACAGCAATCTCACTACTCATTACTCTACTTATGAGCTCTCCTCTAGAACACAAACACATCTGTACCAGCTATACAAACCCAACAGACCTTTCAGTGCTTGATTAGAAAGAATCAAATCAATATCTAATATCAATATGAGTGACACAAGTAATGTAACTCTTACTACTGTAATAGTGACTGTTAACTGTGATATATGCAGGAAAAAGTCATTCAAATTCTTGAATTTAATAAATGGATGAATGATCAGACTAATGAACAAATGGACAAACCGATGGACAGATGCACAGATAGTTCAGTTGTGCTGGCTAGCTACGCTTGCACTTGGTGGTAAGCTTTCTTGCAGTATGTTTCTCTGAAGCTATGTGGGCAGGGCAAATCACATCAGCCTTGTAATTGTTGAGGATACAGCTTACCTATGCATGACCCAAAATTAGAATGTATGCGGGGTTCCGCAAGGGACTGTCCTTGGCCCGATTTCATTTTCATTTTACACGCTCCGCCTGGAAAATGTGTCGTTTTAATGTATCTAAATGTCACTGCTCGTGTCTTAACAAGGACTAAAATATGGGATTGAATTACAACAGCACTGGCACCTGGATTGGATCTGGATATGCATTGGGTGCCTATAACTTTTAGGGTAAATTTTAAAAGTTTTGGTCTTAACATAGCAGGCAATGCACAAAGAAGAACCGGAATATGTTTCTGACTTATTCGTATTCAAATGCTAGACCTCTGAGGTCCTCGAGCCAGGGGTTCTTAAGGCTTATTTATACTTAACATTAAATGCGGTTACAGATACAGCGGAGCTTCTGTCTGTACTCCGCATCCATTTCGTCGTCCATATTTTTGAAGTTCTTTGAAAGCTTATGGATATGGAAACAGAGCAGTACCACCAGAAGCCATGAGGTGGCAGTGCGGCCAATAGTTCACGTGAAACATGATGCCAGTTTCCCTTATTGGTAATATTAGTGTAAAGAATTCTCCGTCCACACATCACAAAGTATTCACTGACCTTACTGACACCACAGTCTACAGCGCTGCCTCTTTCGTCTCTTTCATTGGTACAGTATTACGACCTCCTCCACCGCCGCCATGGTTGTAGCTGTCAAAAACTTTTGACTCTGAACTGCCCTTTAGTGGACATACTGCTAAACATCCACGCCAACGTAAAGGACGCATGAAAGTTTTTTAAGCACTTTTCTTTACCATGATATTTTAAAAAGACCGATTGGAGATTGTGAAACAGTAATATCACTCCGTCTGAGTGCGTCGAGCCCAGCAGTGTGTGTGGCTGTGCTGCTGGGGGTGTTTGATTACTGAGGGCGTGGAGGCTCTGGCTTCACCACACTGTACACACACTCAATTATTCAAACACCACAGACTGCACGCTCACAGCACATGCCACCCCAATGGCTTTGAACATTTTCAGTACAGAAATGTCCAGAAAACTGCAGGTCTGACCTACAGGAGCCACAAAATACCACTTATGAAGTGCTTTTACAAAACCATTTCTGAGGCTAAGATTAAGGTTAGGATTAGAAAGTTATCATCATATATTACTTACAAGCAGTACTGTGCAACATCAGAGACCTGGTCAAAAACACCATTAAGGACAAATAATTGCATCAAGAAAAAAGCAGACAACACATTTTTAGCAGAAAATTACTCAACAAGTAAATATAAATTCAGATGTTTCAGTGTCCACTCTTTACCTTTATTGCACACCAAAACATGGTAACATGTGAAATCATCTTAAATTTACTCAATATATCTAATATTTCTCAATTTGAGATCTTGGCGCGATGCTAGCCAGCGCAGGCATCTGTTTGCTGACGTAACAGAACTGGCAGTTAGCATTCTCCTCTGAGCACGTTCAGCCATCCAATGATGCTGGCAGTTTAAAAAGATGCGGTGGAGCTTCATAGGACTCGGAGGAAGACTGTGTTTGCCTCTTCTTCTTCTTATCATTATTATTATTATGAATACACTCTTAAAATGATCGTTCTTCAAGGGTTCTTTAATCAAGAAAAAGGTTCTATATAGAACCATGAACACCCAAAGAACCTTTTCATGATTAAAGGGTTCTTTGCATCATGAACAGTTATTCAGACTGATGGAGAATGTGCTATAGATGGTTCTATATACAACTTTTTTGAAAATTCTATTTAGCTTCAAAAAGGGTTCTTCTATTGTCAAATGCTTGACATAGTCATAATAGCAGAACCCTTTTTGGTGCTGTACAAAAACGTTTCTCAAAAAGGTTTTGGTATAGCAAAAAAGGAATCATTTCCTTTACTAAAGAACCTTTGAAGAGCCATCTTTTTTAAGAGTGTAGGTACTTACTCAACTAGATAATGTAGTTGAGACACACTATTACCTGTTAAAATGGAAAAATTCAGGGTGCTAATGTTTTTAATAGGAATACACTAATACTGGAATTCTGGACTGATGCTGATATCCGATATTTTTCATGTACACATCTGTCAAATGTAGAAACTGGGACTAAATCCAACTCTATCAACATTACAGACGAATATAGCCTCGATTTCTGTAGGGTTTCAAATGCAGTAACTCAGTGTCACCTAAACACTGAGCTACACAAATCATCACACCTAATCTCACAAATAAAAAAAAAGTTGCACTTAACAGCTGTTTAAACTGAGAAATAAATAAATAAAGGGAAAAGAATGGAAGCAATACATGAAAATAAATAAAAAAAAACAAATAATGTAATAAAGGTTTTTGTTAAATGTATGTTTTCTGCTTTTTTCCTGACAATACAAGATGAATGACTCATATTTAATGGCCATTTTTACTAGAAAGTAAATAAATGAAGGGTGGTCTCTCACACATGACTGTATATAACACATACGGGACATATTATTATTACGTATAGGCACATATGTGTATATAGTACATACCGCTATAGCCTGCAGCCTCTGCTGGTACTTCTCCGCTTCATCCATCCTGAATCTGTGGGTGAAAAAGCAGGTCAGTGTGAGGACACTCTGATCGGACTGTTAATGAAGAATTATTGCAGCTACATCATTACACTGCTGCACTCTCATTTCACGCCATGTTCAATCTTTATAAATCTGCTGCACATTAGCATTTCGTTTAGCCCCGGTCAGCCCGGCTCGCGCAGCAGATCACTGTCACAGCGATGTGATGAATTAAGGAAGAGCGTTCAGCCCAAAACCAGAAAATATTTTTCATGTACATAAATGCAGAAACTAGTTTTTAGCTATGCTAGCGTACTTTAGTTTATAGATAACATTGAGTCACACAGTGTCACAAACCACATAATCAAGTCTATTAGAGATACTGAACATCTCCACATGCTTTGACACAAGTGTGATGCTCATTGGTGGGCTATTAGCTTCCATTACTTCTTAACTACATTAGCCTCGTAGCTCCAGCGCTAAAACTACAGAAGACACCAAACACATTTTGGCTGATCAACTGCATTTAAATAAAGGCAGGTGGAGTTTGGGTCAAACTATCATTTTAACATGAAGAGGGTGAAGCATCACGCCCACAGAAGTCCTATTCACTCCTGTTTCTCTCTCTCCAGTAGAGCTGATGCTTTCTGGAACGCCGTCACAGCCAGAAATCTCCCACAGCGGTGTAAACACCACCCACACAAACTCTACAGCTCCATTCAGACCGAGCAGCGGACACAGCAGGACCCGCTCTATATATACCACAGTACACTGACAATGTACACTGCTGACTGCAAGCCAAGGTGAGCAGATTTTTAAAATGAAAACAGGGGACAAGTCCAGTTCTGTGGTCAATATATCATCAAGATTTCCAATGTTTTTATTTATGATAATGAAACAGGGGGACAGTTCCAGTTTCCTGTATTTTGAAATTGATTTAAGTTGTCTCTTCTTATGGCGCTTGGGGTAAAGCAGCGAGTTTTGCTATTAAAGGTGCAGTGTTTAAGATTTAGTGGCATCTAGTACCCCTCACCCTTCCCTTTCTAAGCGTGTAGTAGAACCGACAGTAGCCATCAGGTTTTCTGACATCGTCTGTCCCAATTTCGTTTTGCTCCTTCATGTTTACGGTGAGGATTTACCCTCCTTGCTTTTTCTTGTGCTAAATAATACGTTTGATCCTCCATTTGTCAGAATTTGGGTTCTCAAACTTCTCACAACACAACATGGTGCCGCCAGCACCGGCAGCATCCATTGATTCTTCTTCTTTCTACATCTTCCAACTGGAGCTACAGCGCCACCAAATTCAAACTGCTGCTTCAATGTAAAAACATGAAAGGCGTGTCCATTCTGGGCTACTGTAGAAACATGGAGGCACAACATGGCGGCCTCTGTTGGAAGAGGAGCCGCTGCCTATGTAAACATGAAGGGCTCATTTTAAGATATCGAAAACATAACAATTCAGAGCTACTGGTCAAAATTATACACTAATGAACACATGCTTTTGTTACTATATTCCATTTCATAATAGATCCCCCAAAATCTTACACACTGCACCTTTAAGGTTTGAAAGATCAGAGGAAAGATCAAGCTGATGAATTTGATTTGGTGGAAAAACTTGCAGGGGTGCGAGGAAGACACCTTGAGAGGAACCAAGACTTAACAGAGGAACACATCCTCCTCTGGTCGACATCAGGTTGTAAAGACTGTGCTAAACACGGAGGGGTGCTAGATATGATACATAAATATATATATATATATATATATATATATATATATATATATATATATATATATAGAGAGAGAGAGAGAGAGAGAGAGAGAGAGAGAGGTGAGAGTCGGTTATTCTATAGCTCCATTAGTAGGGCTGAATGATTTAACTCAGTATAACAGAGCCTGAACTGCCTGGAGACGAGTTAGACCAAACACAACCAACCCATTTTCGGCGGCGTCACAAACACAACTAACTGACAGTCTGGCAAACCATGTTCAGTGTTCAACCCTCAAGCCAAAAAACTGGATATCCTGAAGTTTCAAAAACTCTGCAGTCCATAACGAAAATTAAGCTGCAGAAACAGCCTGTTTCGAATTCATTGTTTTTGTTACGTTACAGAAACCAACATATTTACAACACATTTACATATCTGCCTATTCCACCTACAGCAGTTTAGCCCTGCCCACTCACACTGAAAGTATAAGGATTGTTTCAGCCTGGAATGCTTTGTGAATGAGGCACAGCCAACCAGAAAAGAGCTCATTTACATATATCGGTCTTAAGTCACAGTAACAAAAATTGTCTGTTTAATTCTAAGAGATAAAGAGAGTAAAAGACAATTGTTTTTGATACATAAACAAACACAGACATAAGAGGACTTTGGTGGAACTGCAAAAAAACTACACTCCTGGAAAAGAAAATTGCCCAAAACGGCAAAACATTAATCTTTTAATGGTCTTAACAACAAATTACTAAACAAACAGCTGCAGTAAGTCAGTGTGGGAGAGCTGTTCACTTTGATTTCTTTAAATGTTGAAGTTTTGTGTGTAAATTTGCAGACAGTCTTTTACAGAAAGAAGAGACAGTATTGATCCACTCAGCGTTGATGACTTCAAACAGCTAAAAAACAGTCTGGACTCTGTCTGGACTCTGACCAGACAAACCATCAGTAACAACCATTATATTTTGGGCTTGGCCAATTTTTTCCCCCAGGAGTGTAAAATATGGGCCGTTTAATGAAGAAAACCAGTACAGACAGTATGCTGCTGTCTGAAGAAAAACAAGTATCTCCAAAATGTTCCTTACTTGTGATGTAAGTTAATGCAAAGAGATTTTATTCCAAGCAAGTTTGGAGCATTTCTATTGGTCTTTTCATCATGAAAAATAGAAATACTTCTTTGATGTTGTTTTTTTTTTTTGGGCAGCGACAATCCAAAAGTACATAACCAAAGAAATGCAGAGGTCATAACTTGTTAAACAGAACCCTGTAGGCTGGACAGCAATCAGAAATAATACAGTCAACAGATCAAAAACACTGCAGAAGAACATCAGACACTAACAGAGTTTGGACCCTCCAGCTAGAAGAGAGGAGCAGTTAGTAGTACACACTTAAAAAGATGGTCTTCAAGTGTTCAAGAAAATGGTTCTATATAGAACCATGAACACTCATAGAACCCTTTACATGATTACAGGGTTCTATGCATTTTGAAATGGTTCTTCACACACCAAAAAGGGTTCTTTAATAAAGAAAATGGTTCTATGTAGAACCATGAACACTCATAGAACCCTTTGCATGAAGGTTCTGTGCATCTTGAAATGGTTCATTACATTAATGGCAAATGTGCTGTAGATGGTTCTATGTAGAACCTTTTTGAAAGCATTTCTATATAGCACCAAAAATAGTTCTTTGTGACACTGTAACAATAGCAGAACCCTTTTTGGTGCTATATAGAACCATGTACAACACATTCTCCAACAACCTGAAGAACGCTTTCACCATGCATAGAACCCTTTGATCATGCAAAGGGTTCTTAAAGTGTTGATGTACAACACTGAACACACTCTTCCCCCTACAGTAGCTGCTGTGCGCTGTGTGAGGGCGTGCCGAGCTCATCGGTAGGTGAGCCGTAAGGACTGTGTTACAAGATGATATCATCTTGTAACAAAGGAAAAGGGCTGGAATTCCAACGAGGCGTTTCAGGCAGCTGGGAAAAGTGGTTTCTGTGGAAGAGAGTTTTTCTCCCTGGAGGGAACGCTGAGCTTTGGGACTTCGCAGACCATTCACATGCACAAAAACATACATAATCATAATCATAGCATAATAGCCCCCATTTTAAGTTCTCTAATATTCTGACCACAATATTCATTGGTGTGGTGACTTCGAGTGGCTGGTGAAAGTTTTTGTATGTGTCTACTCCCACTCGTGACTAACGGGAAACCTCCAAACGAACTTTCAGGAGATACAAACACACACAAACACACTGCTGAGGAGGACACAGAGGAGTAAACAACACAACTCGCCTTTGATCAGCTCCACTGCGGAGCTCCCAGCACAACAGCACAAGCCTGTATGATAATTACACCAAAATACACAGAGTCCCTGCAGAGAGCGCAGAGAGAGGAGGGGGAGAGGGAGAGAGACAAACAGGGAAACAGGGAGAGAGAGAAAAAAGCATCACTCTCCCAATGCAGCTCGCACGCCCCTTTAGGCGCTAGGGCTGTGTTTTTCAAAGCAGGGGTGCCCAAACTTTTATCTCGGGGGGCCAGAGTGTAGAGTTTACGGTGGCCAAGGGCCAAATAGACACAACAGTATACAAATGAAAAGTTTTTAAAAATGGATTTTAAAACATTACTAGTGCATTATTAACATGTTAATGCAATAAATTATTAATTGATTCAATCAACAAGCCGAGTGAACAAAAGTGAGAGGCTATGATCACAGAGGAGCTGAATACATGATATTTATACTCACTGACTGTATATATGACATATGATATATACGCTCATTGACTATATATGTGATTTACATGCACTCTTTGTATATATATGATATATACACTCACTGACTGTATATGCGATATACATGCACTCGTTGACTATATATGATTTATGATATATACATACACTCATTGACCATATATGATATATATGATATATGCACTCATTGACTGTATATGATATATATGATATACATATGCATGCGCTGACTGTATATGATATATACAATATATACACTCATCAACTGTATATATGATTTATATGATATAGACACTCATTGACTGTACATGATATATATGATATATACACTCGTCAACTGGACATGATATATATGATATATACACTCGTTGACTGTATATATAACATATATGATATATAAGTTATATGTGATATGCATTTAAAGCTGTGGAATTGAACCAGAATTGTTTTCAGCTTTACTCTCTTCAGCCTGACATCCAGTGCTCAGTATCTGCTCAACAACATCAGCTCTCATCAAGAGCCAGAGAAATGATCAGATCTGTTAAAGCTTATGTGTTGCGGAA